TGCTCGCCTCACATCTGTCTGACATTGTTGTGCTTCCATCCTGCGGCCGGTTCTCCTCGTGCCTCTTTGTGATTTTCCCACGGTTTATGTAAGTTTTGCTGCCATGTCGGCCTTTTTTGTTTTGATTAAAATAACTTCTTTTTTTTGCCTCTTGTCGGTTTAAGAAGACCCAAGTCATTTGAACAGTAGAATCCTCTATCAGACAAAAAATAGGATGATGTTTAGCTCCACAAACTCCACCAGCTGGACTCCTCAGGTCCTGGATGTTCACAGTCTGAAACGTGTCTGTGAGATTGTTTTTTGTTTTTTTATTTTATTTGTTGTTGCAGTAAAACTTAACATTTATTTTTTTCCTAAAAATGGTACAATTTCTAAGAATTTTTATCTGATCACAATGATCAATTTTCTGTAAATTAGATTTTTGAGATTCACATTCTGTTTTTATTTTACACAACGTATATTTTTCAGAAAGCGGTTCATTAAGTTCATTAGTTTTTTCTTCTACCTTTCACTCAAAATGACAGAATCTGATGCATCAGAGCGGGTCTTTAATTCATGGATTGATTAATTGATGCGTTCATTCATTCATTTATTGACTCGTTGATTCATTCGTCTGTTACTTTTTATTAACAACTGAACTAACGTTTGGGAGTGTAAAAATAAATTGCTTTAAGCAACATTTTACATAATGACAGTCATTTTCTGTCTTAGATTGGAAGCCGGCCTGTTTTATTCAGACCACCGTCAGGATGAGTTGAAGGTGGAAATAAACAGTATTTTTCTTTATGGACCACCTTTACTCAACATTATGAATCATGAAAAAACAAGAATGCTCCTCCTGCCTCATTCTTGCAAATAAACAATCTATTTTTGTTATATTTTCAACTACTGAAGGTCAAGATGTTCATTTTTTGTTTCGTCTCACTCGCTGCAGCTTTTCTTTCCCTGCTGATAAAGAGGAGCATCTTCTGTGAATGGACGTCATGGCAACAGCTTCCTGGAAATTAACTTTCTCAGCTATTTTTTTCAAGGTTTACAAAATGTAATTGTTACTATTTTAGGGCTTGTCGTGATTTTTTTTTCGTTATTATTATTATTATTATAGAACCTTTGGGGTTTTTCTTCTGTTTTTCTCTGTTCTGGTGGGAGTCGAAGCAAATACAGACTTCTCCTTTCAGCTTCACTTAAATAAATACGAGTTGTGGGTTTTATTTGACTTGTAAGTCAAATAAACCGTTCCTTGAAAGGCTGTTGCCTGGTGGATTAGTCTGCCGTCTCAGTTTGAGGCCGCGCAGAAGCAAAAACAAGAAGCCGTCGCCTCCTCTGTGCTCTCTGTCGGCTCCTCCTCACAACGGTCATTAGGCTCGGTCTAAGAGGCTCATTAAGGCTCACTAAAGAGGTCATAAGTTCTGCTGCAGCCTAATCACAAGTGAAGTTTCACGCCTTGCTGCAAAGCCATATCACAGCTTCATCACTTCTGAAGCCACAATCACACACGATGAAATGACTTTTAATTGTTCCAGTTTAAACTGTCGAGTTCTGACGGGAAGTAAACTTTTCACGCCACCAACACTTTAGGACCTCAGGGTGCTCGAGTGCAGAAGCTCCATTTACAACAAAAATATTCAGTCTGTTGTCAAATAAAGGAACAGAGTTGTATAAGTTTGGTACATTCAGGATGAAGTTCCACATTTAGTGCCTTCTGACATAATCGGACTTTATTTGATTTGATTTTACTGGCGATGCCTGTTGAAGAAACTAAGAGCTCCAGTTTTAGACACAGAGGACGATAAAAAATGAAGCAATGAGTGGCGATCAGGAAACACAACATGTTTTTATAGAAGCGTCAAACAAACGTTAACAAATACATTTTCTGTGAAAACTGTTGAGTGCTCAATGACCTCTGAAATTTGTTGTTAAAGCTACAGGAAGCACAACAAATGCTAAAAGTAGCTAAAATCTAATAACTGCAAAAGAGTTGCTAAGATAAATTGTTAAAAGGCTAGCTAAAGTATAAAAAAGGCTAATTAAAAGCTGCTAAATGTTAGCTAAAAATGTCAAAGCATTAGCTGAAAGCTAAAAGCACCAATGTGCTAGCTAAATAATATATGGAGCAAAGGCTAACTAAAAGTAGCAACAAGCTAGCTACAAGTAGCAAAATATGTTAAATAGATTCAAAAAATGTTCAGTACAAATGTTAAATGTTTAATGTTAAATCTAAAAACAACAGAACACTAGCTAAAAGCAAAATGCTGTTAAGGAGGTAAGCTACGCTAAAAAGGAGCAAAACAATAACCAAAGTAAAAAATAGTTAAAGGTTAGCTAAGATAAATGACGCAAAGGCAAGCTAAAGTAGGAAAAAGCTGGTTAAAAGCAGCAAGATGTTTGCTAAAACTCGCAAAAAATTAGCAAAGTGCTGGTTAAAATGGCAAAACATTAAAATAGTAAACGGCTAGCTTAAGATAAATGGAGCAAAAGCTAACAAAGTAACAACAGGCCAGCTAAAATTTAAAGTAGCAAGTAAGTAGCTAAAAGCTTTAAAAAAAAAAAAGCAACGAGATAAAATATGAAGGAAAAATAATAATTGAATAATTAAATTACTGATTATTGTTAATTATTAATTTATTTAATTTTTATTATTATTATGATTAATAATTAAATTCATTCAACCTTTATTTAAACAGGTTAATCCCATTGAGCCTCGAGGACTCATTTACAAGAGAGACCTGATTTCAACAAAGAGTGATGACAACAGTGGACAACAGCGACAACAATAAACAGTTATAAAAAGTCGTACTCCAAAACTAAATGATGATTTGTAGAAGCTGCAGCTCCAGTACACTTCCATCCGTCTACCCTTCGGACGGCTGTACGGAACGTAATTTCGCTGTGACTGTGCATTGACATTAAAGTTGATTCTGATAAAATACAATAAAGTTATAGGATGATCTTATGAAAGACTAAAAGAATAAAGCACTTATCTACATTTAAAAAAAATCAATTGTAATATATTTTAAATCAGGGTTTTTTTTTTTTTTTTGTCTTTTTGTTTTTTGTTTTTACACAAAAGTTGCAAAAACCTGTCATGAGAATTTTAATGTCGAAATTCATTTAAATATCCAATTTTCTGACCTACGTTGATGATCATGTGTGAAGCTCATCGGATGAAGCTCAGGCGGCTGAGACGAGCTGGTCTGGAAGCTCAGTCCTCACCTCCTCCTACAGGTGTGCAGTGGAGAGCATCCTGTGCTCCAGCATCAACGTGTGGCATGGAGGCTGCACAGCTGCAGAAAGAAAAGCT